ATCATTTGACTCGTGTCTTGAGGTATTTGAAAAATACGGAAAATTATGAATTAATTTACAAACAAAATGATGCTACACCCTTAACAGGTTATGCAGACTCCGATTGGGGTAATGATAAAATAGACCGGCGCTCAACTTCCGGATATATTTTTTTCTCTCTTGGAAATTGCGTTTCATGGGCGACCAAGAAACAAACAACAGTGGCTCTGTCATCAACAGAAGCTGAATATGTTGCTTTATGCACAGCAACTAGTGAAGGTTTGTGGCTAAAAGGTCTAATGAATTCTTTTAAAATACCAGTTGAAAAAGTCATTGTAAAAGAAGACAATCAATCGTGTATAAATGCTGCTAAAAATCCAATTAGTCATGGACGGATGAAACATATTGACATCAAATATAATTTTATTCGTGAATTGGTAGAGAACAAAACAGTTGTAATCGAGTATGTGCCAACAAATGCGCAAATAGCTGATATTTTGACAAAGGGAATCCCAACCCCACAATTCGAGAACTTAAGATCAAAATTAGGGGTTGACCTTCAGGGGGGATAATTGTGTCAAAATTAATTGTGTCAAAATCGTCGGTTTTTTTTTTCGCGAAATTAGCTGCGCCTTATCTACACCTGATTGCGATTAAGGGGTGGATTGTAGGTTATAATCTTATCAGCTGTTTTTAATGATAAATATATGAGAGTGTCTTTTGATAATAAAAGTCATAAAAGTGATTCGTAGTGTTCTTTTATTACAATCAACATGAATCAGCACTACTTAACAGGTTAATTCATGCAGTCAGATTGCACTATAGGTACTGATGGGTGGTGACATAAACAATACTTGACTTTAGTCTCAATTTGTGATGGCTTTTGTTCTAAGCCTATAACCGCGAATAATGCCCTTGATGAGAGTTAGGTAATCAATGCCTATTTCATGATGGGTGTAAATCTATCGGTCTATCATGTTCTGTGTTCAGTCATTTTCTCACGTTAAATCTAGTGTACTTCGGTGTGGTTTCTCCTTGAAATGGCAGCTCTTTGAGTAGAAAAAAATTAAGGTGATATGTCATATTCTGGGGTGTTAAAACTGGCGTGCAATATATCGCAATGATCAAGTCAAATATTTCGGCAGATTTTGGGTTCTTAGCCAAAAAATAACAACAGCCCCTGGGCATGAGCCTTAAAAATAACTCAATCCATAAAATCGGCCAAATTCAGAGAAATGAAAGCAGGATCCTTTTTGGAGAGAACTTGGCATTGAATACAGTTTGTGCTAACTCCATTGAATGCAAGGTTTTTTTTCAAAAAAGATCTTGCTTTAAATTCTCTGAATGTTGCCAATATTTTGGTTTAGAATGATTCTTCGTGCGCAGGGGCAACTGTTCTGTTTTCGGGCGAAAAATTCGAGACGTGCCAAGATACTTGATTTAATCAATGCAATATTTCGCAGTCTAGTTTAACCACCCCAGAAACCATGACAAATAACATCAATTTGAGCATTTTCACAATCCTAGAGGTAGAGAGAATGAAATACTTAAGTACCTTAAGCAGATTGCTCAATGTACCTGGACACAGCTAAGAGAAGACACAGATTAAGTGATCGCTGTGACGATAACCATGAGTTTCTGTTTTCTTCATTACTCAGGCGAGTATGGTTTTAATGGAAATGTAGGCTGAGATTGACTTCTGATATGGCTAGAATTTGGGGAGAGGACTGGCCTACAAATTCCTAATACATCTTTTATAGGTATAAATTATAAATTTATACCTATAATATATGTAGAATATATAGCGCAAACTAATATAATCTTTATACCTATAATATAGGTATTATAGGTATAAAATAGGTATATATATTTATAATATAAGTATAAAACATCTATAAAATATTATATATATGTATATTATGAGTATAATATAGGGAAGTTGTGCTACTAGGGTTCCCTTGCGACACCCTCTCTGCTCTTCACATAAAATTTTCCACTTAGCTACATGTCTCCCAATTAATCGGATTACAATGGATGTGATGACTTTATAGAGCGTGGAGAGACATGTAATCGGTCTTTACTCAGATGGGTCCTTCGAATCGCCTCCTTTGTGCTTTGCAAACGTCACTCCTTCAGTCAGAAATATTGGCATTTTGTCAGGATGAGTAATAATATCTTGAATGCTTCTTGAAAGCTGCGTATGCACACATGTTAACTTTTTCAGCCAGAAATTGTGCACTTTGTATGGTCTGGGAGCCTTCCAGTTATGACTATGCAGAGTTGCTCTCCGCACATCTTCCTTAGTGATTTCAACCTCACCTTTATGTGTAATGTGGGCATGACGCACTGTTTCCTGCTCAATCCAAGGAGCTGTGCTATTATGCTCCTTGGCCTCTGACCAGATGGATCGCCAAAATCGCGTTACATCATCTCTCGATGGTATTTCTTCGGGGGCGTTCCTCACATCCGCGGCGTTTCCCATCCTCCGATAGAAGGCTCTCTCATTACGCTGAAACAGAACGTTATCTAAATGGCGCTGGTATGATTTTTTATATCTTCTGAGTCGGGCAGCTTGAACTTTTAACTTCTGCATTAGTGTATCAAGATGGGTTAAAAGGTTTTCCTCATTCCCATGGGCCATCTTCGCCCTTACCCTCTTAGAGGCATTCCCCTTGACACACTGGGTGACTCTCCCAATCTCCTGCCTTCGGTTGGCCACTTTCCTTTCAATCCTAAGCTGCCATCTTGGTGCATTCAGTTTGATTTCCCTACGCCCATGATTAGTTGGGCCTTTGACGGCTTGTGTTATCGCCTGAGCTGCACAATAGATGATGCAATGAACCTCCTCTAGCGTTGATTCTTCACGAATGTATGCTGGTATAATTCGGTTCATCCTCTCAATACACGCGAACAACTGAGGAGTGTAAGGAAGTTTTGGCAGTGACTGTCTAAGATTTAGACTGACTCCTTGCCATTTGATCATTTCAGCAAAAGGTAAATGCAACCTCTAGCGTATCAGCTTTGATAACGTTCTCGTCAGCAGTATCAGTTGCACACTCACGATGCCTTCATCAGTGTGTAATTCCGGTACAATGTCTCGCTGTTCTACTGGACCGTCTGCGCAAGAAACTGACGCTGGATTAGCCTCTTATACGTTTACTTCGTCTTCACATTCTCCGCGAGAAATTTAAAGTTGGACTACATCTTTGATACTCTGCAGATCATCAGTAGACATTTTACAAGACTTCAGTATCACTCGCTTTTGGTCCATTAGGCGCTGTTCTGAGACATTTTCGCAGTCAGGGAACTTACCAAGAAAAAGTTTCCGCATTTCCGCCCTGTATCCAGGAATCGATCCATGTTAGACGCGAGGTAATAACAACGCATGACGTGTTGATACATACTTAGAGTCCAAGTCATGCGTTGCCTAAGTTTCCCTGCTTTAGTGGTCGTCGGCTGACTAGTCGACTACACACTTGGAGCAGGGTTGGTGTTGTTGGTTGGCCGTCGTGCCATACACTGGGACGATCCACGACCATCTTCGTTCCCAGCGTGGGGACTATTATGCGTGCCGTGTTCCCCAACCCTTGACGCGACCGAGGCTCTTCTTTTATCGTCTTGTGCAAGAAGGTCACTGAACTTTTGAAACGGCGGCAAAAATGCGAATGGCGATGGTGGATGCGGATTTTCCGTTACTTTTCCGCCACCATTTTGACGATAATCAGTGTTTCAAAAATCTAATGAAAATTTAATTTTTTTCGAGCCAAAACCCACCAGAGTATTGACTTTTGTGCAAATCCATCGGTAAGCAGCCGTGATATGGATTTTCCGTTCTCGTGCCGAAATACCCCCGGATACCAAGTCTCATACAAATCCGACGATAAGCAGCCTAAATATCCACTTCCCGCTCTAAGCCGCCATTTTAACCGCCGCCATTTTGAAAAGGACTGACATTTCTGGAAAACTAATGCCAGAATCGTTTTTCTCATCCCGAAAAACTCTAGGACAATGAGTTTCAGACCAATCCGACGATAGAAAAACGGAAATGCCAAATTTCCGCCATTTTGAACTTTGACCGCGGCCGCCATTTTGTCAAAAATCAACATTTTGACCTGCGGTTTGCGCCAAAAATTTTCTTTTTTAATTATCTTTCAAATGAGGTATCACAAAAGGGGAGTTGCTATTTGAAAAAAAAGTTAGCCCCCCTCCCCTTAGGTGGGGGGGGGCGCCCTCCAAAACTGTAGGGGGACCAATAAGTTGCTACCTTAAACCGAGGAAAATTCCAAAAGTTTCAAACTCCTATCTCAATTAGGAAAAAAGTTAAAAGGGTAGTAGGTGACTTTTGGATAACCCTGTATGATCTCTGCATTTAATTTTTATCTTACCAAAACAATGACAATGAAATCTTCATATTCTACAAGGAAGATAATTTCGGGTCACTCTGCCGAGTGAAAAATAAATCAAAGCCCTTTGCAGTAAAATGATTAACGGCCTCCTTTTTTAAAATTTAAATCAACTCACTAACGCAAAATATAAGTCATAGATACCTCCACGATTCGGGGTTAGTATTGCTTACCCTGTGACGCAAAGCTTAGGCAGGGCCGGATCAGCGCTCTGGGGCCCAAGGTGCTGTTTAATAGAAGTTCCAAATCCCAAAATTTAAGGGGCCCATTATATAAAAATTCCAGGCTTAGAGTATCTCTCAACCTCTCTTTCAGACTCCAAATATTCAAAGTCCCGAAGAGACTTTTTGGTGTCATCGACTTTTCACATAAAGTTGGTTCAGACGAGCCTTGCGTGGCGTATTTCGAGTACCTAATTAAAATTAAAAAAAAAAAAAAAAAAAGTTAGGAGCAATATTTAAGCGTCCCGAGAGGAGTTGAAAAGTGAATGAATTTTCATACGATTTTATGTGTTTTTTACCAATTAAGTTGAATAACATAACGCTAGTACTGACCCCCTCTCCCCTTGTTCGCTTCCAAAACGCTAATTTTTTTTCTCTTTCTCCTGTTCCTTCGCAGAATGTTCATCTAGTCAAAAATTGGTTGCCAACTTTGGATAAGAAAATGGAGAAGTCGTTTGAGAACCCTCATCCTAATTACCGTTTATTCATTAGTGCTGAGCCTTCTCCGGATCCAGAGTTTCATGTAGTTCCACAAGTAAGTTAGTAAAATGAAATACGTTCTTGAAGTCTCCATTATGCTCATGGCAACATGCGTTTCTATTAAGATGAATCTGATGACTTGTTTCTGCTTTGAATAAGAAACGTCACCTCCACCACCACCACCTCCCATTCTCCAAAAATTCACCCTATCCGAGGTGGGTTCCAGCCACGTTTAGATTCTCTTTTCTATCTTGAGGTTTTAAACTTTGAGCATCTGTGATTATAGTTCTTCCATGGCCGGCGTTGCGCCTTAGCAGCCTCGGCTCATTTAACCCTTTCGTGCGAGCATAGTACCTATTACATATCCTCTGCATGTTATCTCGATAAAATTAAGTGCCGCAACAAGTTGCTTGAACGCACTTTACTTCATAATTAAGGGAGGAATAAAACAAATTTTGAGGAGAAGGCACAGAAACAGACTTCAGATACGTGCTCCCTCCTTAGCTGGTTCTTAGTCAAGGCGGTTTGTTTTGAAGAGGATGGAATAAATAGTCGACTCGGGAACACGGAGGCTGATACCCTGGTGAATGAAGCGGTTTCATCTGCTGGCACCTTCCTTTCCCTAACTGTTACAGCCAAAGACCTCAAGAACTACACCAAGACAGAGATTTCAAAGAATGAGCCTGTTCAGTAATATGTAATTCTTGCATTTTTTAAACTAGGGAATGCACCTAGTTCACAGGAATTTTACCCAATTTTTTTTTTAAGCAATATTAACCCACAATATACGCGTTCAAAGTTCCGTATTTTGAGCTCGCATTTAAACGCGCGTCACTCGGGTTATTCAAGATGGCGTCCATTCTTTCCGTCCGGCGATGGCCACACTTTTGACCTCGCGTGCCGGTGAGGTGCGGTCTGCCGCGTGTGGTAGTCCAAAAAGTAGACAAACAAACATCGGGCTGAATCTATCCGACTCATATCCGATTACCCCAAAGAGAAAATAAGAGCTCGCATTGAATAGGAAGAAAGCGTAGTTGCCTGCTTCCCGCGTTCGCTTTTTAAAAGTGTTCGTCGGGCGTCTAATTGGCTGAATAGCAAGCGCGGGAAGCTCAAGCCAGTAGCAGGCAACTACGCTTTCTTCCTATTCAATGCGAGCTCTTATTTTCTCTTTGGAGTAATCGGATAGGAGTCGGATAGATTCAGCCCGGTGTTTGTTTACTTCTTGGACTACCACACGCGGCAGACCGCACCTAACTGGCACGCGAGGTCAAAAGTGTGGCCATTGCCGGACAGATAGAATGGACGCCATCTTGAATAACCCGAGCGACGCGCGTTTAAATGAGAGCTCAAAATACGGAACTTTGAACTCGTATTTCGTGGATTAATATTGCTCAAAAAAAATCGGGTAAAATTCCTGTGAACTATGTGCATTCTCTAGTTTAAAAAATGCAATATTACTGAACAAGCTCATTGGCAACAAGAGTGGGCAATATACTGTCAATAAGATTCCTCTAATATCCATATTTTCTCAACTTTTTGATCGATAACATGTGGATCAAGTAAAACTAACTAGGCTGTGCATTGAACACACTTCCTTCACCCACCAATACTCAATTAAGGAAGTCCCCTCTCCAACTTTTATCTTTTTTAATATCGCCTCCTCAGTCAGACGTGATTTAATATCCTGTCTTACCTACCAACGATTCGTCGTTTCTTCCAAGAGAAACTGTAACTAGATTAAAATGCTAACAAATTTTCCCTCGTGAATTGTATTTTTAACTGGAATATATTGGGAATTTCCGATTGAAAATTTAGTTGATTTTTCATCTGATATCCTGCGAAAATTCGGAAAATCTTGGAATAAAAATAAACAGGTACGGCTGGTATAACCCGAATTCCCACCTTGCTGCGGAAAATGCTTATTTTCTCTTCTTTTTTAATCCAGGGAATCCTTGAGTCCTCCATAAAGATAACCAACGAGCCTCCCACTGGAATGTTGGCCAATTTACATAAGGCTTTGGATAATTTCAACCAGAATTCATTAGAAATGTGTTCAAAGGAGGGAGAATTTAAAGCCATCTTGTTTTCATTGTGTTATTTCCACGCTTGCATCGCAGAGAGAAACAAATTTGGTCCACAAGGATGGAATCGGAGCTATCCTTTTAATGTTGGTAAGGAAAAAAAAAACTTCACAACCGTCAATAAACTGATTTATAGTGATAAATCGTTCATTACATTGCGATGAAGTATTAGGAACAATAATAATATATTATAATATTCTTTCGACGCAATATGCTTTCCTCTTTCAAGCAAGCTGGGTAACAACGGTGCTCTGAAGGCGTTGTTCCCGTTTACTAATTTCAAGAAACAGGTTTCCTCTTTCAAGTACATGATCGCTTATTTTAAAACGCCGTTGATTTAATTCAACAAACTTATAGGACTTTCTTGTTCCAAGACAATTCTGAGTGCCTACATTAAATAAGTAAAAAATCCGAGGCAACTCGTTTACTTAAATTTAGTACGCATTTTTTTTTTCAGTGTATCCTAAGCTTGAAGTCTAAAAAATCGAAAATTAGGGAGACTGTTTTTTTAGATAATTCAGTTTGCGCATTGAATTGCGAGGAAATGGTACATTTAAAAAAAAAAACCTGAATTAATTACGGCCGTGTAAATAATTTTTAGCTCAATTTCGATGGTAGATTTAGAATTTGTGTAAAAAATTGGTCGAGAAAAATTTTTAAAAAGTTTGATGGAATAATATAGAGGCCCACCATGGACAGTCAAAGAGAGGGAAGTCAAGAAAATGAGGAACGCACTGAAACGGGCTCATTCGCATATCGTAAAAATTCACCCCATCTTTAGGTAGAGGTCCATATCTCACGAGCGGGGAGTCGGATGCGAAAATCCTTCAAATGAGCTTCTTATAACGATGTAAAGACCTCGTATACCAATTTTCACCCAAATCGGGAGGGGGGTGGGGGTCGGGTTCCGAGCCTGGCACAGTTGACGTGGGATGACCGATAGGTTTTTTGCACGTATCCACGGTCTTAACGTAAACATCAGAATCTCAATAAAAGATTGACTTTTGGCACCATTTAATACGGTTGAAAGTAGACAGAATTTTGGCAATTATTATTTTATCATTATTTTTTTTTTATTGCCTTAGGCAAAGATTGCCTCTCAAGGAGTGTATCATTTAAAACTTGTATTTTTTTCACGCACCCTAGGGCTGGCGTTAGGGTGTTCAAACGAATTCTTGCCGGAACACAATCGATACCTATCGTCTCTTTCCGAAACTGGCGGCAGTACCGACAGTGGCGATGATATCGTTAACAGCCGTCCTTATCGGATTTGTGAGACCTCGCACTCTATACATTGTTGCCCCGTGTGTCGGTTTATCAGATTGCCATGCCAGGCGCGGCGGCGCGTAAAATACAGGGTGTTCGAAAAGTCCCCTCCCCCCTCTAACTTTTGACCTAATTGAGGTAGAGATTTGAAACTTGGAGGGTGTTCCTAGATCAAAGGGAGCTACTTTTTGACCCCCCCAAAATTTTGGGGGGGGGTTACGGACCCTAACTTTTTTTTTCAAATGGGAAGACCCCCTTTGTGATATCTCGTTCGAAAGAGCATAAAAAAAGAAAATTTTTCGCGCAAACCCGAAGTCATTATCTCAAACAGTTTCAAAATGGCGGCCGGTCAAAGTTCAAAATGGCCGAAAATTGGCACCTCTGCTATTTGCACATGGATTTGCTTGAAACTCGGTATCTGGAGGTATTTTGGCACGAGAAAAACGAATTTGACGTTAGATTTTTAAAAAAAACCCTACTTTTTCTAAATGGCCGCCGGTTTAGGCTCAAAGTGGCCGAAAATTTGACAAACTCGATTTTTTGCCAATGGATTCACCTGAAATTCGGTATCTGGGGGTATTTTGACCCGAGAAGAACGAATTCGACGTTTTTTTAAACAAACCCTAATTTTTCAAAATGGCCGCCGATTACAGTTCAAAATGGTCAACAATTGGCAACCTCGACTTTTTGCCAATGGATTCGTCTAAAACTTGGTGTTTGGGGGTATCTGGGTTTGTCTCCTACCCAGATACCCCCAAACATCGAGTTTCAGACGAATCCATCGGCAAAAAGTCGAGGTTGCCAATTGTTGACCATTTTGAACTTTAATCGGCGGCCATTTTGAAAAATTAGGGTTTGTTTAAAAATCTAACGTCGAATTCGTTCTTCTCGGGTCAATATACCTCCAGATACCGAATTTCAGGTGAATCCATTGGCGAAAAATCGAGTTTGTCAAATTTTCGGCCACTTTGAGCATAAACCGGCGGCCATTTAGAAAAATTAGGGTTTTTTTAAAAATCTAACGTCAAATTCGTTTTTCTCGTGCCAAAATACCCCCAGATACCGAGTTTCAAGCAAATCCATGTGCAAATAGCAGAGGTGCCAATTTTCGGCCATTTTGAACTTTGACCGGCCGCCATTTTGAAACTGTTTGAGATAATGACTTCGGGTTTGCGCGAAAAATTTTCTTTTTTTATGCTCTTTCGAACGAGATATCACAAAGGGGGTCTTCCCATTTGAAAAAAAAGTTAGGGTCCGTAACCCCCCCCCAAAATTTTGGGGGGTCAAAAAGTAGCTCCCTTTGATCTAGGAACACCCTCCAAGTTTCAAATCTCTACCTCAATTAGGTCAAAAGTTAGAGGGGGGGAGGGGACTTTTCGAACACCCTGTAAATGTACAAATGGCAACAGCTTATTTTCGTCAGCTCCGAAAACTCTGATCGCTATCGGCAAGAGCGCTCTTATCGTAACTTTTTCCTGATAGAACTGTTTCGGTAGCTTACCGACAACCGATAGAACAGCCCTAGCTGGCATTGCTAGAAACGGGCTAGACACTCCATCTGGCTTTGGCCATCAGATCATGGAAGCATATTGTTCATGTCAGATAGACATTTGACTAGAGAGCAATGTATTAAACTGAGATGCAAGGTTCTAGCCTGGAAAAATGGGTATCGTCAGCATTAATATTATGAAATATTGTAAAATAAAGCAGTACTGTTTTATGAAATTTTAATAGATTTTTTATTTCTTAATAATAATACTCTCTTTTTTTCTTTTTTTCTCTCCCTCTTGTAGTTTCAGTTTTTATACTAATTATCTAGGATTTTTTTCCAAAATTTTGACTTACAAATTTGGTGGTAATCACTTTTTAGGTACTAATGAAAAGAAGTGCTTTTGCTTGAAGACATCATTTCATTAACAGTACCGTGTAAATACTGTTCGGCGAAAAATGATCTTTTGCATCATTCGAACGAACAACAACCTAACAGATTGTTTCATGAAAGTTTCAGCCTTGCATTTGTCAATCATTGTTATTTGTAAATCTATGAATTTTGAATTAAAACTACCATTCGACGCTATCTATTAGAGCTGCTATCATTAAATGCAAATTTAAGCCTTTTGTTAAGTAATGTAAGTTTGGTTTTGATGCAGGAGATTTGACGATTAGTGTTCATGTTTTATTTAACTACCTTGAGGCCAACTCGAAAGTTCCATGGGAAGATCTACGATATTTATTTGGAGAAATCATGTATGGAGGTCACATAACTGATGATTGGGATAGAAGGCTGTGTCGAACATATTTGGAAGAATTTATGTCATCTGATCTGGTATGTAGACTCTAAAATATCCTTTCCATAATGAAGAATCCCTGCCTTTTGTTGCCCTTTCAACTTGTAGGTCATGCAACAATGTTGCCAGAAGGTGCACACAAATAAATGATTTAATTACTGGTGAAAATTGGCAACATCGGATTTTACAGTGTTGCCGGATGGTGCAGGAAATTGAATAATTGTTCCTTAAATTTTTCTGATTTCCGCTTCATAATAAATAATAATAATTATAATAAATTCTAGAAATCAATTTCTCAACATTTTTAACTCATATCAAACTAATTCATAAAATAAAAACGTGTAAAATGATGTAAAACTGCGATGTTCCCAAACATCTGTGGGCAAATTTAGCGCCCCGCATGACGCAACACGCACAGCAGCAGTGACAACCTCAGAATCAGCACCAACCCTGCTAAAAATGTTCCGTGTGGATGATTTCCATGAAGTTGATTTCCATGAAAAAATGACACGGAAAAATGGAACAGGAAATATTTCCATGTGGCTGATTTCCGTGTGGCTGATTTCCATGTGGCTTATTTCCATGAAAATTTTTCATGGAAACGAAATCATTTCCGTGA